TGCTGTGAGCTGTGAAGCCATGGCACTCTACCCAGGGGGACAGCTTGAGGCTCTGTCTCAGAAAAAAAAAAAAAGTAAAAACAGTAATAGACAATTGAGGACTGTCAGCTCCCCTGTCAGGAAACCTGGTCTCTACTCTCTACTCTTCTTTGGTATTGAGGAGAGTGTAGTTAGACATAGAACCTTCCCCGTGTTTCCAGAAATTCCTAGTCTAGCCCCGTTCTTCCTCCACTCCCCTTGGCAGCATAAACCTGGCCCTTGCTTCTCTTTATAGGAATCACAGGATAAAAAAATAGGGTCTTGGGCGGCACCTATGGCTCTAAGGAGTAGGGCACTGGCCCCATATACCGGAGGTGGTGGGATCAAACCCAGCCCCGGCCCAAAACTGCAAAAAATAAAAATAAAAACAAGGTCTCTCCCTGACCCGTAAAGCATCAGCTCATTGTTCACCCTGCCTTCTGTTCCTTTTCTCCTCAGGTGAAGAGTCACAGTTTGAGATGGACATTTAAAGGAGCAGCCCGCGGATGGAGCGTTGCCTGTGGGCCCCTCAGGGGCCCTTCTCTGGAGAAGAGCCACCCCAGCCAGGCCTTATGAAAGTTACCCTACTGGGGAGGTGTCTGGTGTGGGACCGGCCACCCTCGCCCTCGGCTCCCTGACTCAGGGCACCTGCCCTCCCTCCCTCTTTCTGAACACCAGCAGATACCTCCTTGTGCCTGCGCTGATGCAGGAGCTGCCACCGCAAGGTGGGGGCGACTCCCTCACACACACCCTGCAGCCAAGTGCCAGGAAGTGGACAAGGACCAGCCCTTCTGAAAGGTGGTCAGGCCCTTCCAGCCCCCTCCTCTGGGGCGTACCCACCCCTTCCGTTGCCTGGTGTGCCCAGGAAAGCTCCCCTGCCCTTCCTTCCCCGAGAGAGGAAATAAAGGCCACCAATGCCCTAGGGCCAAGAGTTGGGCCCCGTCTGAGCTCTTTTCAACTCTGTGTGGCAGGCGCCCCCTGCTGCTGTCTGTGAGCACGTCCACAGCCCTTTGCTACACAGTGTCATTTGGTCTGGCATGGTCCTGTAGGTAAGTACAGCAAGCAGCATCCTCATCTTACAGCTTAGGGCAGAGGCTCAGGAGAAGGTAGAATCTCACAGCTGGAGAATGATGCGTGGTCCGGGTCTCAGCTTGCTGCTCTTGATCTCTTGTTTTTCAGTGGCGAGCCCTGCCTCCCTTCTGAGTTTTCTGCCCCTTTCTCCTGTCCCCAAGCCTGTCAAGCTTGTCACCTGCCCCCTTGGGGCTGTCCCATGTGAGAGTCAAAGGGAAGACCCTGGTATAGTGATCAATCCCTCTGTGAGCAGTCAGGGGAGACACAAACTTGTGACAAGTTCTCTGCCTTGAGGACTTATTGAAACTTAAGCGTTGGTCAGCACTATGGCTGGAGCCCATGATCACAGCACTTTGGGAGGCTGAGGTGGGTAGATCACCTGAGCTCAGGAGTTTGAGACCATACTTAGCAAGAGTGAGACCCTGTCTCTAAAAACTGGCCTGGCATGGTGGGCGCCTATAGTCCCAGCTACTCAGGAGGCCAAGGCAAGATCACTCGAGCCCAAGAGTTTCAGGTTGCTGTGAGCTGTGACACCACAGCACTCTACCAAGGGCGACACAGTGAGACTCTGTCTCAAAAAAAAAAAA